TATAGACAAACTTATTGAAGAACCTTGGTAACTCCTCGTGCTTATGTAGGCCCAACTTCTCGGCAATCCTAATGCCACCAGGATTTGAATCCAGGGTCATATACAACAGGCCATTGGTCTCGATAATAGCGAAATTCTCGATCATTTTATACACCAACAGCTCAGCCACGGCATCGTTATTAGCGTACAGCGGGCCAGACATGGCTTTCCCGATATTATTAGTCCGGAAGCACCCGTAGCCCACCACCGAGTCGTCGTACTCGTCGATGGCTACCAGTGCCATGGAGTCGGGCTCCCGGAATACGTGCGGCAGTAGTCTAGCCCTCGAGAATCGGTGCACTTCGCGGTCGTATTCAATGACCAGATTCTCGATAGAATCGGTGATTCTCTGGACACGGATTCCGTCGATATTCTTGACCAGCGTATGGGTGCGCACGGAATCGGACTCATAGAGCAGCATAAGTCGACTGTCCTCGTGGGTGAACCCGGCTCGGTCTCTGTACATGGACTGGTGCTCCGGTACGGCATACAGGCCGGCATTCCGGTCCCCGATGTGGGCCATCATTTTGCGCCACATTTGCCATCCGATCCCCAGTTTTTGGTACTGAGGGTCCACGCCGTATAGGCCGATGAATGCGGTGTCCGGGTGGACAAACACCCCGGCGCACATACCTAGAATTAGACCTGTTAATGGTAAGCAAGGTGATACCTTTATTTATTATGTTGGCAAGTTTAAATCTTATATTGTTTGTAAAAGTATTGATTCAAGTTAATAAAGTTGGTTAGTATGTAAAGTGTTTTGAAAAATCTTATATTAAAATAATTTATAAATATAAAAATGACTTTATATTTAAATAAATACTGGTACTTCTTAATAAATAAATAATTTTCAGATTAGAATATTTTTAAAAATATTAATAACTTTAAGATATAAGTATAATATAAAATGTTTGTTATATGATTTAAATTTATGTTGAAGTCATAATTAAGTAAAAACAAAATTTTGAAAAATAATGGTAAATAATGCAAATATTTTATACAGTAAAATTTAATTATAAATTGAAGTTTAATTTATTTCACACATCTAACATGTTGATTAATAATCCCAATAGCTTTATATTTTATTAAAATAGTTTTGCATGTTGTTTATCAATGGCTTACAATCCAAGGCCTAGTATTCCAAACGAGAATTTTATTGCACTTTATTTTATAATTTATTTCATTTCTTCCGATAATCTGTTTGTCGAGCGAAACAAGAATTTCGAAAATCCTTTTCATTACTGACAATGAATTGGACGACAAATTGAATTATTAATATAAAAATATTATTGAGTTTTTCATTTGACATTCATTTTCGTGGCACACAATGAATGGCTATTGACTATCGTATGGGAAAGGTATGGATGGTTATGATGGGGAGGGCAGACATTCCCGGCACACATACACAGCACAATTGGGTCATCACTACAGCGCTTCCCAGCGATGATAGTTATGTCAATATATTAGAGAATATTCCTCAAGAATATTATGGGAGCTCAAGGTTAGGCCAGTTATTATGAGAGAGAGAGAGGAGAGCGAGAGAGAGAGAGAGAGAGCTAAATGTTAATGATATGAATATTAAAGGCATTTGACAAACACTTTAGTCAAACACTGAAAGTGATGGCACCGTTAGGTAATAACTATTGAAATGCTGAGTTTCTATGACTACCAGCGCCCGGGCTATCATTCCTTTCGCTGTCAACTACTTTGCTATCGAATCTCCAGAATAATATTAATTTACTTATTCTTGAGTTCCATTCTCTCTCTCTCTCTCTCTCTCTCTCTCTCTCTCTCGTCGTTAAGGATTTTAGTAAAAAGTTTTTAAATAAGATTTTCGCATATGTTTTAAGTTACGATTTATGTAAATGTTGTAAATCTTATATAAAATGTAATCCTTTATGCATTATTTGGCACAAAAACTTGTTATCTAACAAAAAGGGAAAATAAACAAAATATTGGCAAAAATGAATACCCATTAATTTTACTGAATATTATTATTTAGTGTATTGTGCATATATTTTTTGATGTGTGTGTGCTTGGTGAAGCAAATAATTATTTAACACAATCTAAAATATTCACAATAGCTTACCATATTCAACCCTATAATAATTATGTGTATTACAAATGTTTATTGTAATATATTAATTAGTAACTTGTATAATTTTAAAATAAACATCACATTGATAATCTTAAAATTATTCATTTAGATATTAGTTTAAGTTTATTACAAAATAATTTCTAATAAATAGTATAGTATACTGTACTAGGAAATACAGTACTAGGGAATTTAGAAAATAGTAAAATAAGCAACCAAGTTGTAAAAATTTAAATATTTTAGTAATAAGTTATATCTTATGGACATACCGGTGCTATCATCCACAGCCACCACAAACCCCTCGGGATCCACATTGAGAAACGACTGTATAGTATGAGTTCCTTCGTGTAGGTTATTATCGGCCCATATCTGCAGTACTTGTGGCACATCATCGGCGGTCATGTATCT